AATAAATAATGTGTTAAATATATTCATTAATTAAATATATCGCAATATTACTTATTATTTATTAATTATTATAATAGTTATATTATAAAGTAACATCGTTGATATCACTTGTGTGCTAATTGTTTTTCTTAATCAAAATCTTCTTCGTTGCGAGTCGAATATTTTCTCTCGCGTGCTACCAACATCGATACTCAGCCGCGATACTCTTCTCGAGAAAAGACGCTCTAGTCAGCGGGAAGGCGGTAGCGTGGCACGAGATTCTGTGTCGGTCTCGTGTTTCGCGATTTTTGTCGGAACAAACAGTACAGGATACGTTTATGGGGTGCAACTAGGTCTTACGACTCTACAACGCTCATGATATAAAGTCTGCTCTCTCGGAGTCCGTGTCGCCGACGGCGTCATGACTGCCGCGCGAGTTTTACAGCGCCAGAAACAGCGCTCGGTTATTCCCTCGCTCGCGCGTTCGTTTAAGTTCGAAATGCGATTTGAAATCGCGCACAAACGACAATCGCGACACAAGATCGGTGTTAAAATTGCACGACACGTTTCTTCGACAAAGAAACGCTCGACAAGCAAATATATTTATTATTATATCCGTCAAACGCGACGAAAAGATAGGACGGGGATATTGTATTTTGTTGGCTTTGCAATTTTTCGCGCACGAGTCACGAGACGCGGCACAAACGAGCGTGCACAGGAATTAAGCGAGGGAATGGGTTGCGGGAGGCGCGCGCGATTTCCATAATGCCACCAGAGAGATGGGTTATTTGCGAGAGCGTTTCCTCGAAGGCACGACCGCGCGCGCGGACCATGGCAAATTCCGGAATTTAATTTCCACGAGAGGATTATCCCTCTCGCGACGGGCGCGGGGATCGAGCGAGAGCAGCTGACCGGTCGTCTCATTAACATTCGCCCGTATCTCGCTTCGGGCGTTCGGTCGTGAATGAAACACACAGAGGAACGAGAACCCCGGCACGAAATCACGCGCACGGCTCTCTCTCTCTCGGGGATCGGTGAACCGTGTCGGAGGTTGCACGTCTGTCGGTCGCGGATGATATTCCGCAGATTTTCCCGCAATTTTACGACACTTACGACACTGCCGCAACATCGCTTACACGTCACATCGAAATGGTCAATATACTCT